AAAAAGCAGTCTGAAACACAGGGTGTGTTTGTAGAATAGAAATGAGTATTGCTATAAAATGATTCTTATTACTACTTAAAACCAAGATGGGTGAAAAATGTTCAAGGAAGTAAACATATCTGCTGAATCTGAATGTCAATTGTACTACTAAATTCCCTGTCTGAAACCAGAAAAAATTGATTTAAGGTGTTGTGGCCACTTTATAGCATGTTATGTGATTATATTGAAAAAGACAACAGAAAATGTGGAAATGGCAGAGGTGCTTAATGACGTCTTTGTTTCAGTTTTCGCCAAGAAGGTTGGTGGCAACTGGACATCCAACATAGTGAATGCCAACATAGTGAAAATGAGGTAGGATCAGAGACTAAAATAGGGAAGGAACAAGTCAAAAATTACTTTGACAAGTTAGATGTCTTCAAATCACCAGGGCCTGATGAAATGTGTCCTAGAATACTCAAGAAGCTGACTGAGGAGATATCTGAGCCATTAGCAATTATCTTTGAAAAGTCATGGAGTACGGGAGACATTCCAGAAGACTGGAAAAGGGCAAATATGATGCCCATCTATAAAAAGGGAAATAAGGACAACCTGGGGAATTACAGATCAGTCAGCTTAACTTCTGTACATGGAAAGATAATGGAGAAAATAATCAAGCAATTTGCAAACGTCTAGAAGATAATAAGATGATAAGTAACAGTCAGCATGGATTTGTCAAGAACAAATTGTGTCAAACCAACCTGATAGTTTTCTTTGACAGGGTGACAAGCCTTGTGGATAGGGGGGAAGTGGTAAATGTGGTAGATCTTGACTTTAGTAAGGCTTTTGATACTGTCTTGCATGACATTCTCATAAACAAGCTAGGGAAATGCAACCTAGATGGCACTACTATAAGGTGGGTGCATAACAGGTTGGAAAAGCATTCCCAAAGAGTAGTTATCAGTGGTTCACAGTCATGCTGGAAGGGCATAACGAGTGGAGTCCCACAGGGATCGGTTCTGGGTCCGGTTCTGTTCAATATCTTCATCAATGATTTAGATAATGGCATAGAGAGTACACTTATAAAGTTTGTGGACAATACCAAGCTGGGAGGGGTTGCAAGTGCTTTGGAGGATGGGATTAAAATTCAAAATGATCTGGACAAACTGATGAAATGGTCTGAAGTAAATAGGATGAAATTCAATAAGGAAAAATGCAAAGTACTCCATTTAGGAAGGAACAGTCAGTTGCACACACACAAAATGGTAAATGACTGCTTAGGAAGGAGTATTGTGGAAAGGGATCTGGGCGTCATAGTGGATCACAAGCTAAACAAGTCAACAGTGTAACACTGTTGCAAAAAAAGCAAACATCATTCTGGGATGTATTAGCAGCAGTATTGTAAGCAAGACACAAGAAGTAATTCTTTCACTCTACTCCGTGTTGATTAGGCCTCAACTGGAGTATTGTGTCTAGTTCTGGGTGCCACATACCAGGAAAGATGTGGACAAACTGGAGGAAGTCCAGAGAAGAGCAACAAAAATGATTAAAGGTCTAGAAAATATGACCTATGAGGGAAGATTGAAAAAAATGGGTTTGTTTAGTCTGGAAAAGAGAAGACTGAGCGGGGGACATAACAGTTTTCAAGTACATAAAAGGTTGTTACAAGGAGGAAGGAGAAAAATTGTTCTTAACTTCTGATAGGACAAGAAACAATGGGCTTAAATTGTAGCAAGGGAGGTTTAGGTTGGACATTAAGAAAAACTTCCTAACTGTCAGGGTGGTTCGGCACTGGAATAAATTGTCTAGGGAGGTTGTGGAATCTCTATCATTGGAGATTTTTAAGAGCAGGTTGGAAAACACCTGTCAGGGATGGTATAGATAATACTTAGTCCTGCCTCAAGTACAGGGGGTGGAGTAGATGACCTCTTGAGGTCCCTTCCAGTTCTGTGATTGCATTTACAGCCAGACTTCTAGCATTCTAAACTTCAAATAGGCCTTGCATATTGCCCAGTTCATTCAGCTTATTTTCAAATAAAATGTAATATTTGACATATGGAGTGAAACACACATTGTTTATTTTGTTACCAAGAGCTACATAATAATTTCCTGCAGCACTTCACAAACTTTTGAAGCTGAGCCCCTCTTCAAAAAAATGAAACCAATGAGGACACCACTGAAACCCCACCATGTTTGTTAAAGGCCTTCACACCTTAATATATCTTTCCATTCTTTGGTGTAAATCTCTGTAATATGATATTACTGCTCGATTCCTTCATGCCTTGCATGTTGAAATAGTTAATGCTGACAGTTTGGCATCTAAGTCAGCACCTGTTGCTCCATTCATTTCATTTCAGACATCAGCTGTTGTTTTAGGCTCCCCTCAAATTCAGGCAGACATCGTGTTATTGATTACTCTGGTCAATTTTTGAAATGAAATCTGACACTATGGAGAACAACTAACAAGTCTCACCATGCCCCCTTGGCTAGTCCTTCATACCCCGAAAGGAGGCATGCTATACATCTTAGGAAAGTAAGTTGCTTCACAGTAAATTAGTGAATAAGTTGCCTTCTGCAATAATTAGGTGGTATATCTTCATGGTGGTGTGTTAATTTTGGTAACTGGATGCATGAGTTATGATATTCAACAAGAGCTGAACAAAGAATTGTGGCAGGCTCGCTTACTTTATTTTGGGTAAGATTTCTCTGGCAGATTATTCATCTTGTTCTCTGTTGCCTGCCTATCTGCTCTCACTGGCACTCCTATTTGCTTGCATACCTGCCTATCTAGCCTGCTTCCTTCAGGCTCTATCTGCATTTTCACGGACAATACTCCATACGCTGCAGTGCCAATCATACAACAGAGAGGTGGCGCACCTCCTGTTTCTAAAGACTGCATAGCAAGCAGTGCCTAGTGTGATGGATAAAAGAAAAACATATATTTAAGTCACAGTGAAGGTACCAAGAAATGGTTGCCATCCTCCTCCTAAATCCTCTGATTTTAGATGAAGTCAGATGTCCAGAGGTCCCTGATATACCTCATAGCAAAAATGAAAATTGAGGTCTGAATACTGTGGACACATAGTCCCATGCAATGTAATATATCTCAGAAAAAGCTATATCTGTCTTAAATGCACACGAGTGCAGCAGTTGAGTGTAATTTATCTTGTGTGTGTGCCCCACTGCTACCTGCTAGGTGGAATCAGACCGGCTTGAGTGCTTTTTCTTGCTCTCTAGCCACTGGAGGCCTGCGTTTCTATAGTGCCTTTCAGCTGAGGAGCTCGAAGTAGTTTAAACATTCATAACGCTTCACAATCCCCTGTGTGGTAGGTAATATCCATCCCTATTTTACAGACCAATAAATTGAGGCTCAAAGGTTAAGGGACTTGCCAAAGCTCACAAAGGAAGACGGTGACCGATCCAGAATGTAAGAATTCTGATTACTAGTCACATGTACTAACCACTAGATCAATAGCTGTTGTCACTATTAACAAGCTATTGTAAGCTATTGTACTTCATTTTTTACAGTATTGGCATAATTCATTCTGTTTCAAGCATAATTTAATACGGGTTTCCTATCCTGTTGACAGTGCTGTGGAACAATTCAATTAAAGAGCACATGAAAGCACTACGAATCTTCTGTCGGGTGTGAGATCTGCCACTCTTTTGTTGTATAACATTAGAAATGAATGTTGCTAGTGGCACTCCACAGGCATTTCACATATTGCCATGTTTTCTACAATGCAGAATAAGATAATCTTAAAACTGGGGAACTATTAAAAGTTTTAAAGAAAATACATAATGTGCATAGCATACTAGCAGACGTTCACTTTCACTCATTTCACTTTTGTTTTACTTTCGCTCACAGATGATCTTGCAGAGCTCACCCATGGTTCCTTTTTCTTTTTGTCACTTGTCCTATTAATTTACCATTAAGTTCTGAAAAGATTTCTCATGTCCCATTCCACCAATGCTATGCAATGGGCCTGTTTCTTTTTCTTGCTATGGGTAAAACTCATTCAGGTGCAAAGAATGAACACAAGGCTTATTCGTCATTTAGATTCCACCCAACACTGTCACTCATCCCGCAACAAAGACTGCGAACAGAACTCCTATTACAATTTTGTTGGTAATGCATGAGCTGGCCAAGACTCAGTCTCCCTTTCCCATAGCTGTATTAGCTTTGCAGTGCTAATAGAAACAGGTAATAACTTCTTGATCTTGCAGGGGGATCTTTTATGCCCAGATGGTGTAAGTTCCAATCCCATTGGAGTCAGTGGCACTCTACAGGGGGGCAGGGGTCCACTGACGCAGATCACATTACAGGATCAGAGCCTTATCAGGAGAGCGAGCAGCTATCACACCTAAGATACAGAGGAACAGGTTTCTAAGATAGGGCCATATAGACACAGTTTCTTTGCAGAGTAGAAATATACTTTAAATATTTTTTTAGCAGCTTTCTCCCCATTTTCCACAAACGGGCCTCATTTTTGTGTTTCAGGGAGTCAGCATGGGGTTTGGAGGCCTCTACCTCAGTAACTGCTGGGATGGAAGGAGCAGTACCTTGAGTGCTTCTCTTCTCCTCCTGCTTACCTTCCTTTAGAGGTCTGACCACACTCTGATGGGAAAATAGTTCACCAGAGATAAAACCAGCCTCTAGTATTCTGTAGCAGCTGTTTAAAAAACCCTCTAGAAAATGTCCTACAGAATTTAAAGGAAAGTGACTCTTTCCATAAGGGGACCTCTCTTCCAACAACCAGATGCTTGGATGGGTATCTAGGCATTTGTTGCACCTATTCTAGGATGTGTAGCAGGGCTGAGCTTTGCTACCATGAGTATGGCTTTCCTTGTTCACAGTAGCAAGCCTTGAAAATGTCTCAAAGGTCAGGATCAGAACAAGTGACTAACTTGCCATTAGTCATGAAAGAAGCCAGCATAATAGACCCTGCAGTTGTGAATACAAGTTTCACATAGAAAATCTTTCACAAGAGGTGTCTAACAGAGAAAATATTTTAATTACTTACCAAAAATTTAGCTCCATTAATATCCAGTTTTTCCACTACTACCGCAGATTCAGGCATTCGAATCTGGGGGGCAGGGGGGAAAGAGGATTACAAAAAGAAATTGAAAACTGTACATGAGTCTAAATCTTAGATAAGTTCATAGATAGAAATATTTTATGTTGAAATTGAACTGCATGTGGTAGTTGCAGGAGTCTGTGTATATTTCATCTGAAGAGGATAACTAGGTAAATAATCTTGCAGTGTGTGACTGGCAGGCATTCCTAGAGAATGGGGCTCAGAAAATATCAACTTTCAAAATCAAACTCAGGGAATAGATACTGATATATCTTTTTTTAATTCTTAATATGTCTAAGTGGATCAGTTGTAAAGGAAAATGAAGCAAACCTGCAGTAGAACCCTGCATGGGACTATTCTTTAATCCCGCTTCCGCTATTCTGGCAGAGGGTCCTGCAGGACTGGCAAGACTCAATCCTGCTGCAGGGCTTTACACTAGTCCTGTGCAGGGTTCTAACCTGCCGCTCCCAAGAAGCTCTGTTCCTTGACAAAAGGAAGTTAAGTGTTTGCTCAGAAAGAGAGCAGACTGGGAGGTACAGAGTGTCAAAGTAGCTTCCTGGAACTCCCATATTCATACTGTGATATGATTAGGATATGTTGTGTACAATGCATGCCTTGTGAGGTATTATGAAAGGCTTGATCAGTTAAATCTTAATATCCTGTTGAATTTTATGTACTATTGTTGTATGTAAAGTTATGAGTATTGCTATATTTGTTACTGAAATATGTTGTGAGGTTGGGAAATGCCCACAGCCAGCCTTTCAGTGGGAACAAAGGAGCAACTCTCACTGGCCAGTCAGGTGTAGATCCGTTCTGAGGGTGTGGGGGTGTGCCTGAACTTTGGTCCTAGGCTGGAAGGGAGTTCAGTCTGTGTATTGAGGACCTGAGCTGCCGGTATGCCTGTAACATCTGTTAGTGTGAGAGACTGCTTGATGCCAAACTTGCTTAGAATTTAGACAGCATTTCTATTTTTATTTCTAAGGTAACCAACTTTGATCTCTATGCCTGTTACTTATAAATCACTTAAAATCTACCTATAGTTGATACATCTGTATTATATTTTACCTAAAAGGTGTTGGGTTTTTTTGGTTGAAGTGCTTTGAGGAATCTGAGCTCAGATTACAAACACTGGTCCACTTTTCTTTGAAGAAGCGGTGAACTAATAAATGAGCTTGCATTGTCCAAGAGAGTCTTGAGTGAAAGATGGTGTATTTCTGGGGTGCAAGGCTGGGGGCTGGTACCTCTCTGTATGATTCATGAGTGGTTCATGCAATTTCGCTGGGTGTGGGGTTCCACATTCTGACTGAATAATCACAGCACCTGGAGGGGTGTTGCTGCTTGTCACTGGCATAGCATTTTGTGAGACAGCCCAGGCTGGAGAGTTAAGGAAGCACAGCAATCCCACAGTTCCAGGTTGTAGCTCAGGGATCCCGTCACACAGACTCAGTAGGTTTTCTTTATAAAGGGTGGCAGGTAATAGAGCTGGTTTGGTAAACGCCCTAAGAGTGTTTCTGACTGATGAGCTTTAGCACTTTGGCATGGTTTTTTAAAAGAACTGTCTTGTTGTGTACACAACCGAGGGCTTAGAAACTTCAGGAGAAAAACTGCAGCACTTTTTTTCATTAAAAATATATAGCACTTTAAGTGAATTCAAGTAGTTTAGCTTAACCATCAAATCTGTCTTAAACGCCATTAACAGTGTGAATTTAAAATTAGGGTCGTATAAATTCATTCCATTTGCTTAGAGGTGAGCCATTGAACTCAGGAAAACTATACATTTAACAGTCTCGATGCTCAGAAAGAAGGCAAATTTTGGCTTCCAATAGATGTGTAAGAACTGCTTGCAGTTGTAGAGTCAATGGGAATTGAAGGCACAGAGTCATCTGCAGTAAGTGCTCAGCACATTCCAGGCTAGCACCCTTAATGACAGTGCTAAACAAGTAAACTTGAAATTTGAAAAACATATTTGTATGGCAAGGATTGTAAACTCTAGGGTCCGTTTGTCAAGTGTTTGTTCAGTGTTTGCTGATTGTTGTTTACAGTGTAGCTGTAAATATTTTGTTTGAAAGATGAACCAGAAAAAAGTGTAGTACAGAAACAAAGCTGTAAAATGATACTGGATTTTCTGAGCTGATGCTTTATTTTTATAGGAATTTTTTTTCTTCAGTCTAAGTAAAGTATATTTTCTTTGTTTTTTTCCCTAAAGTATTTATGTTGGAAAACCTCCATGAGGAAAGTAAATAAAAACCAGCCAGACTTTTAACGTTAGGGTTGCTGACCCATTTAGCCAGATCAGTGTCTAAACCAGTATTTCTAAGTGAGATTTAGTAAACTGCTCTCATGTTCTAAATAATTAGTTCTTTCCAAAACAGAACAAGATTGTGACTTTGCAGGCTCCCGGAATAAAGGACAGTGTGTAGCACACTGTTGCTGGAGTATGCCAGGAACTTCCATCTTTCCAAGGTGAAATAATTTGCCATTGATATAGCTGGTGGGGATGGAGAGAATGTGTGTGGGGTGAAGGTACCACCTACTCTGCCTCCCTGCCTGCCTGAGAACATAAGAACAGCTGTACTGGATCAGACCAGTGGTCCAACTAGATCAGTATCCTGTCTTTCAACAGTGGCACACATTATTGTGGTTCTTTGCCTTGTGCAGGATATTTTTATCTTAACAAGCAACTTCTGTCATGGAATGACACTGAATTTCAATAAAAACTGAGAGAACACATTAAAACTTACAGAATATCAATACACATGGTAAGTCCTTGGTAGTCACAATTGCTAACTAAACTGCTTTAAACACATTTTAGCATCTATGTTTATATCCAGGAGGGAGTAATCACACATATTACAGAGAGTAGATAAAGTGGGTGAGGTAAGATATTGTGGTTCTAATATCCCGGGACCAACACAGCTACAACACTGCACACAAAGAGTAGATCAGTCCAGCAACCTATTTTGCTAGCTGAACTGAAACAAGTATGATATACTGTACTGTCTGCAGTCTGAGCCCTAGGTTCAGTACCTGTCTTAGGAGATCTGCAACTTGAAGAGTTGTCCAATTCTCACATTCCTCTCGAAGGGGTAGTTTTGTGGCCATTTTGCTATCCGGTGAAGAGGATTTGATCTGTTTCTGGTGACAGTAAACTCTTTGCTTCACTGACATTCACCATCTGCTGTGGAAATTGAAAGAGGAAGTCCCTTTTGCAGCTTTTCCCTGCTTGCTTGCTTAAAGTACACGCCTTTTCAAGTAATTTGGAAACTGATACACTCATTATTTCAGGACAATGATTTTGAATATAAGAAGGTACTCAGTAATAGGGTCATATCATCCTTATATAGGCAGAAATATCCATTGAATTGAGTTGAGAAAAGGATACTTGTGCTTGATGATTAATGACAAAGTGTGGCCACGTTTATAGGCATTTTAGTGGCATCTGCTTCATTTTTCACATGGTGTAAAATAAGTTCGTGTTAGTGACAACTGCCTCTTGCACACCTTTAACTCCTTTTCATAGTCACTCTGATCAGCTCTTAGATTGTGTTTGACACACTTCTATGTTTTGATACACTATGATGCTATGAATAGATATAGAGAGAGTGAATATATATATATAGAGAGAGAAAGCCGAGCTCAGATACAGGATTTGTATTTCTAGATTGTCAAATTACTTAACCTGACTCTTTGTTTAAGGTGTTGGCACAGTGCTCTCAGGGTAAAATAATTCATTTGATTAAATACTGTATGCATAATGAACATTTGAAAGAAAAAAATTGGCCTCAAATTCTTAATGCTATTAAATAACATATCATCTACAAATCTTCACATCTTTATTCAATAAAATTATTTTAAAAATAAGACTAATAGATACGAGCATCCTATACATCAGGAAATAAAATTGCAAAGATGCACTTCCAATAAAACCAGCTTATTATTCCAATAAAACCAGCTGCATCGCAGCTCTGAGTCACTGTAACAGAAGTAATGTGAAGTCTTCCATAAAAGGCTGGAGAGCAAGGAATGTTCTGCTTTCTAATTGCTCTTCCTGTTTTATTTCCCAGTGCAAACAGTATTTGGGCACATTTTCAAGGATTGGAACTGATTCTAACTAAGTTTAAAATATTTTGTCTGTTACCCTTTTTCAAATTCTGCTATATGTTGTGGCTGTTGTAAAGTGATCGACAGATTTACTAACAACCAGCATATTATTGAAAACCCGGTGACTGTAAAACGTTAGCAATTTACTCCATACGAGTATATATACGCAGTTTCGAAAGTGCCAAGTGCATTTTTATGTGGTATAATTCTTTGGAGTTTCATTTGGTAAACACTCAATTTTCAATTTATGAGAAGTAGTTGCATTAAGCAGAACAAATTTATCTCAGGGAATGTCATAATCTTTCTTGCTAAAATACTTACTAATACAAACACGAATAATTACGTTCTATCATGTATGTAATCATTTAACATATACATTTATTGGAAACTTTAAAATCAAACTCAGCTTTACAAAAAGCAGCAACTACATCAACTTCTGTTTCCTCGACTAATATTAAGAGTGAAACATCATTTTCATTAACAATCTAAATGCTAACATCTTAGATCTTTAAGGCATCACTTTAATACAAAATATAAATACTTAGCACTGATGATTTTGTCCAGTAGATACAAAAATAGTAAAAAGAACATGGCTTACCAAACACGGATAATTTTTTCTCCAGACGTACATATTAGAGCCGATTCCAAGTAATCTAAAGTAAGAGCCGTTTCTTGTATCTGCTATCCTGCTGCAAACACTCCCTTGTGGTTACTGTTGTTGGAATGATTGACAGGCTTACCATCTCTGGTGAGAGGGAGAAAAGGATCCTTAAAGTCAAAACCTAGTGATTTCGTATTTAGTATAAAGAAATAGAATTGAAAAAGGAAAGGGAGCATACAATTCTTTCTAAAAGTTTGATGAAACTTTGCCAGTTCGCTCTTCAGCTGCTAACATTGTCTAAAAATAAT